GAGTATAAGGCTATATTTAGTGTGGCTCCCTGTTATGAGGGCTTGGTTCCCTCGGGCATGGAAGCTTTGGGCTCTTACCTTCTCTGCTGGCTGGCAGAGGATCTGGGTCTCAGCACATGAAAATTGTTTCTTGGTTATGTTTTTTTTCTGAACACCCCAGGAAAAGTTTGCCCTGATGGCTCAGAAGACTTATGTAATGGAAAGTATGGCCTACCTCACTGCAGGGATGCTGGACCAACCAGGGTTTCCCGACTGCTCCATCGAGGCTGCCATGGTGAAGGTAATCCCTGCACAGCCTCGGAGACCTTAGCTGTGGCCTTTCAGCCCCGTGTCGCCTGCCACCTTCCTCTTCTCCTTAGCTTATAGGTCAGCTTATCCAGTATTTATGACGACCCCACCATGTGACAGACCTGGCCCCAAGATGCACCTGGAGAGGCCCACATGGCATGGGAGAAACAATAAAGAGCAGTGCCCACTTGAGTACATTTATAGGACAGGTCAGTGGCTCCATAGGAGCCAAGTCATCACCAGTCTATAGCAGATGGGGAAAATACAGGCCACATATTATAATTTCCCATCAGTATGAAAGCACCCAAGCTTTCTTGGGAAGGACTTCTGTTGTGGGTGTACAGCTTTCCACTTTTATGTGTCACCTGCAGGCACATGTTGGGCCAAGCAGCTCACCTACATGTGGAGAGGCAAGCTGCAGGTGAACGGGACTAGGTGGGCAGGGTCAGGCCTCCTGGAGAGGGAATCTGAAGTGGGTTTCAAAAGGACAGGAGTTAAAAAAAAAAAAAAAGACAGGAGTTTCTTCAGTGTAGAAGGTGTGGAGTAGGCTCTTGCATCCCAGGGAAGCCTTAGAGATAGGAGGAGTCATGGTGGGTGGGGAGCCACAGTTGGTCAGTTAGGTCCAGAGAGAAAAGGACTTGTCCGAGGCCACCCAGTGAGACTGGGACAGGGCTCCTACCTGGGCTGGTCTCATCCTAGAGCCAGGTTCTCCATGTCAAGCTGCCTGTTCCATCCCCAGCCACCCTGCCCTGGCTGAGGCCCCCTCCCCCTCGTGGAAGGGACTTGGCCCTGTCGCCCCTGTGCTTACCGTGTCCTGGCTCCATGGCAGGTGTTCAGCTCGGAGGGTGCCTGGCAGTGCGTGAGTGAGGCACTGCAGGTCCTCGGCGGCTCAGGCTACATGAGGGATTACCCATATGAGCGCTTGCTACGTGACAGCCGCATCCTGCTCATCTTCGAGGTGAGTGCCCGCCGCCCTGCCAACCCCCTCACCCCCCCAAGTAGTCTCATTGTCCCTCCTCATGCCTCTGTGTGGCCCCATTCTCCAGGGGTGGAGGTGAGGCTGAGGGGCCAAGCGAGTGCCCTTTCTGCTGAGACTGTCCCTTCAGTTGTCTGTGGTGGGACAAACAGAGATCTCACGGGCGGCCCAGTTGTGCCTCCAGGGCTCACTCTGGGTTTGCCTTTCCTCCCCAGAGTACAGGCACCTCAGCAGGGTCCTCTCCATGGACTTTCCCAGCCCTGACACCTCCCTAATTGCTGCCCCCTCCATGGGCTCACAAGCCAAAAGAGGGAATTCTGTGAGTGGGGTGACCCCAGGTGGGATAACAAAGGGGGATGAAGAGCTCGTGGCCTGACTGACCAGGGTAGACTACGGAACACCAGTGCAGGGAGGGCCTGAGCTGCATCTCTCCCTCAGTGGGCTAGTGTCTCAGGAAGCCAGTGCACTTGGCCTTTGGGGACAGAAATGACTTTGGCCTGGCCAAGGGGAAGGTGGTTTGAGCCAAGGATAGGGAGATGGAACATGCTACCCCCAGATAGGGCCTTACCTGCCGCACTGAGTAGGATAAGCATATCTTTGTGGGAGCAGTGGATGGTCCTGGTAGGTGCAGAGCTGGGGCAGGTGGTAGAAAAGTTGGTGGGGTGGGGGCAGAGGGTAGATGAGAAGGGGAGCCAAGTAACTAGACTCTGGGGGCCCTTGGCCAGTAGGCAAAAGAGTTTGGATCTTACTGTGCAGGCACTGGAGGCCATTAGAGGTTTCTGAGCAGGGAAGAACTTGAATGCATTCCCATTCTGGGAAATTCCCTGGGGCTGACGTGGGAGTTGCAGAGGTAAGACCAGAGGCCAGGTGCACACAGTAGGAGAGAGGGCCGTGCAGAGAGAGGGATGGAATTAGGATGGCTGTAGGGTGTGCAGGAGGCAAGCCCAGAGACGAGACTTGGAGCCTGAGCAACCTGTGTGGTTTCTGAAGGGCACCTTTGGATGCCCGGCTCCCAGGCTCCCCAACCCAGGGAAAGGCCTCATGGCTGCTAGTTCTCGCCATGCCCCCCACATGCCAGCCCTGTGGTCTCCTTCCTTGGAGGACGGGCAGGATGTGGCCAGCCTGAGGGTCCAGGGGCACTTTCCCAAGGGCTGCCCCAGGACTGCTGCTTCCAAGGCCCCTTCCCCTCGACCTGGTTGAATTTGCTCCCGTGTGACTAGATGGGGCAGCAGCTTTGAGGGCTGCGGAGTCCTCAGAGTGAGGCAGATGGTCCCATCTGGAGACTATGCAGGACCGGGCACACCTTGACTTGCAGTCTTCCCAGGGGTGTCTCCCTGTCCTTGGCTAGGCTGGCTGCAGGGCTCAGTGTCCAGTACTGGCTTTGTGACCCATGGCCCACCTCCCTTAAATAATCCCAAGGAGATTGGGAGGGGAACAGTGTGCACAGCAGCAGGGAAGAGGTGGCCCTCTGGGTACTGATACCCCGTACTGGGGGGGCAGCCAGCTCTCGTCCTTAGAGATCAGTGGCTCCCCTGAGGAACCTGGGAGCACTTGCTGCGTCCTGGGCATCGGCATCCCTCCCCTCGGGGAAAGGAGTTTCTCCCATTAATTATAAAGAAACCAAATTGGAGGCTTGGAAAAAGTGACTCCGTTGTGTTTGGTCCTAGAAAGGTGGTAGATCCTGAGGGAGTCCCCGGTTGTCTGGTCGGCAACCTGCTCATCCCTGTAGAGGTGGGGCTAGCGTGTTGCCCTCACCCTCAGGTCACAGCCCTGCTCCCTTGCGAGGCTACTTCCAAAGCGGCAGCCTCCGTGGCACTGGCAAGCGGGCAGTGGGGTGGCCTACCCAGTTACACGCACAGCACAAACAAGCACCATCCTAGTGGAGCCAACTTTAACCTCCATACTCCTGGCCACAGGGAACCAACGAGATTCTCCGGATGTACATTGCCCTGACAGGTCTGCAGCATGCTGGCCGCATCCTGACCGCAAGGATCAAGTAGGTGCCAGCCCCACTGTCTGCTCCTCGGGCCCCATCCTGGGATACACCTCAGAATTGGGGTCATGGAGCCGTGCAGTGCTCAGCTCAGTCATAGGCTGGCTAGAGGGAAAGAAGGGGACAGGAGCCCTGAAAGCCAGACTGCAGAGCTTGGCCTTCACCTACAAGTGATAGGAGGTGCCAGCTGCCTCAGGAAGCCCTCATTGCCCTCCTCCCCTGGCAGTTTCCATCTCCCATGCTGCAGGGAGCTTTGTTTTCAGAGCCTAGGGATTGAGAGCTATCCCTCAGACAGGCACTGGGCTCCCAGACTAACATGAGACCACTTTCTTCGCTCTTTCTCTTGCTCCTCTTAACCCCCATCATGGGGCTAGAACAACTAGAAATCATTGTTGGAGCCTGGTGTGGAGTTGCTGAGAGCATCTTGCAGACTCCTTTACCCCAGAGCACCACCTGGGGGCTAGTTGTGACTGCTGCTTGTAGAGAGGCTCTGTGTGCTCTGCCTCAGAGACTGGCTGGGAGGTCTCAGGCATCCAGCAGGCCCAGGCTAGGGTAGAGCAGCATGTAGGTCCTGAGTTGTCCCTTTACTGTCTTGGATCACCAGAGGGAACCAGGTACCTGTAGCTCTGGGGTGCCAAGGGGGACCCTATTGCTCAACAGTGGGAACTAGCAGTGAGGCCGGAGTTCACGGGGCTGTGGGCTTTCCGCAGCGAGCTTAAACGGGGCAATGTGACCACTGTCATCGAGACTGTCAGCCAGAGGCTTCGAGACTCCCTGGGCCGAACCGTGGACCTGGGGTTGACAGGGAAGCTGGGAGCTGTGCACCCCAGTGTCGCAGTGAGTGGGCACACCTGGCATACCCCCCATGTGGGTGCCCTCCTGGTGGGTATCCTCTTCCAGAGGGCTGTGACCAGGGCATCTGGGAGGATGGCCCAGCCTGGTGGGCAGAGCCTGGGCCCCAGAGCCCTGGGCTGGGTGGGATGGGTACCGTGGGGAGTGGCACCAAGCAGTCTCTCCTCTGGCATACTAGGACAGTGCCAACAAGCTCGAGGAGAATGTGTATTACTTTGGCCGCACCGTGGAGACGTTGCTTCTCCGCTTTGGCAAGGTACCTGGGCCCCTGCCAGATCTGGGGATGGCAGGCCCTCCATCTTGGGAGCCAGGGAGAATGGGGCATTTTACCTTTGGGACCCAGCCTAGAAAGAAAGCTTGGTCACCATGGATGGGTGGGGGCTCTCTGTCCCAGGGGGCACTTGGGTAGATGTCCTTGGAGTAGGGAGGGGAGCCCAAATCTAGGGCCCTGATCTGTGAGGCTGCTGCTGCTCAGGCTGACATAAAGCACAGTAACCAGCAGCATGTGATCTCAACCAGGTTTCTGGGACCTGGTCTTGGCCTGATCCATGCTCAAATCTAGATAGAAGGGAAAACAAGGCAGCCAGTGAGTCAGCCTCCCACAACCCAAAGGGAGAGGCAGTGTTAACCCCCTTCTACTGAGGCATGAAGTGAGTCTTGGAGATGGCTGAAGATGGGCCCGGGGAGGGAGGTTCCTGTGTTGCGTGTCTCCACCCTGGGCTCTGTGTTGGCAGACCATCGTGGAGGAGCAGATGGTCCTGAAGCGGGTAGCCAACATCCTTATCAACCTGTATGGCATGACAGCCGTGCTGTCGCGGGCCAGCCGTTCCATCCGAGTGGGGCTCCGAAACCACGACCATGAGGTAATAAGCCCTTGCCAGCTTTATCCTCTGCACTTTAATGAGACCTGTGGTTGGGGAAGGGGGTCAGTGGGTGGCAACGCTCAGTCAGGAGCAAGGGACTGGGCAAGTCAGGGCTTTGGTCCAGTGGTGGTCCCAGGAGGCTGGCAAGTTTGCTGAGCTGTGGCCAGTACCAGTGGTCAGCTCCAATGCGAAGGTCTGTGCTGCTCAGGACATGGGGCCACTCCCTTTTGTTTTTCTATCTGAGGAAAAAAGAGTAAGTGATGGGGTCCCAAACCTTGTGCCTTCACCGCATCTGCCTTCCTTGCCCTGCCTGAGGGGCCAGATGCAGTCACTAAGCGCCTGCTGTGTGCTGGGTCTTTATTGTCCCTCGGTAGCCTCTGGGCACTAGCATTATGATGGCCTTCCTGCCATAGAGGAGACTGAGGCCCAGAGGTGTTGAGTAATTTGCTCTTGGGGACAGAGCTGTTTGGGTCAGAGCTGGAATTAGAACCTAAGACTGACCCCCAAGCCAGGCCTTTTGACCCAAGCCAAGCTGCTTAGTTTGGCTGAGTTCTTGAAACACACACACCAGGGAAGGGGTGCCCTGTGTCATCCTCTTCATCCTTGGCTCTGACAGGTTCTGCTGGCCAACATCTTCTGTGCAGAAGCTTATTACCAGAATCTCTTCACCCTGTCCCAGCTGGACAAATGTAAGTAGGGTGGCCTAAGGAGGGAAGGTGGGCCTGAGTCTAGGTGACTGTTGATGGCCAGGCTCCCAGGGCCTGCTGGCTGCTCACAAACCTCTCCCTTGAGTGAGGGCTGCTAAGGTCAGGTTCACCTGCAGCAGGGCCTGCCAGCTAGGAGCACATACCTGCAGGTGAAGACTATCAGAGCCTCCCAGGGTGTGACCCAGCATGCCTGGCCACCTAGCAGCCGCCCAGTGATGTTCCACAAAGAAGGGAAGCATTTTATCTGCCTCTTTACCCCCTACACTCCAGCTAAAATAAACCTGCCCTTCTAGCAGGTGTCTCAGGCTTTGGCCCTACCTTGTGCAGGGGCTTGGCACATAGGGCTGTTTGTCTAGAATGCTCCTCTCCCGTAGCCACATGGCTATGTCTGAGAGGACCTGGCTCAGATTCCTCTGACCCTTACAGTCATTTTGGCCTCAAGGGTCCATGTTCTGTGTCCCCTGCTGTAGAGCCCAGCTCTGTTGCCAAGAGATGGAGAAGAGGCCATCATGGCACGTGCTGAGAAGAGGAGTACATGATTGTGTGCAGCTTCTGGCTCTGGGTGCTAGCATCTGTGTTCCATTCTGTGGTGGGAGACATGGTTTCTCTTCTAAAGGCTTGACTGGCAGAGGATCCTTCTCCAGCCCCTGTTCCCACAAGATCCAGAGTTCTGAGGGATCAACAAGATGAGCCCTTTGTTTTTCAGGATGAAGCCCCATCCCTCTTTTTCCCTACAGCCAGAATGACACTTCCTGAGGGTTTGGAGGAGGAAAGTTAGCTTTAGGGCTCCTTCACAGTGGGTGGTCTACTTTGTTTGTTTAAAAAAAAAAAAAAAGGCCACACCCCAGCAGTATTTCTCTCCTCACAAACCTATTAATATTTTTTGCTTTCAGATTCTCCAGAAAATCTAGATGAGCAGATTAAGAAAGTGTCCCAGCAGGTCCTAGAGAAGCAAGCCTACATCTGTGCCCACCCTCTGGACAGGACGTCCTGAAGCAAATGGACAGTGTTCCCTACTGCCCTGAAGCCACAACCCATCGCTGGTCAGCTCTTTCTCCGGAAGGTGGAGCACTTGGAATTTTTACAAGTGGAAATGTTTCTTCCCAGTATATACCAGAAGGACTTTCTCCTGGCCTGGGGGCAGAGCTTCTTTAGGCTTTGCCCTGCAGGCACTGCCACTTGACCTGATCCCAGGTGCTGAAGAGACAGGAGAGAGAATGCAGTTGGTGACACCTGGGAGCTAAGGGGCTTCTGCTAGTCTATAGGAGACGTACAGTGGCAACGGGCTTGTGCTGCTGCTGCCTTTGCGTCAGGAGGTTGGTGGGGACCTGTTGCAGGCATGGATAGCTACTTCTGCAAGACCAGCTGTGTTCATGGAACAAATGCACTTAACCTGTGTACTGGGAACCATCTGACAACAAATATAAAATGCAGTTTGTGTTTAGTTTACCCTTTTAGCCCTCATGCTGTATACTGAGCATGTTTTTCCTCAGAGCTGAGTTTCCCCCTTTGGTGATGGTGAGGGGTGGGTGCCCAGCCCAGACCACAGTACCCTGGGGATTTTTAAGGCCCTGTCTCTGGTCTTTCTTATGGTCTGATACATGATAACACATGCTTTTTCCTGCCTGGGACCTTTCTGCTGTCTGTATAGAGGTTGGCCTCTATTCCTGAAGAGGGGGGCAAAAAGGAATCTTAAGGCACGACTAGACCTTTGCATTAGTCTAGGCTCCTTTCTGCTGCTGTTTCCCCACACTGCGTCACAGCATGCTCACACTGGCAAGCTTTGAGGTTTCTTCTGGTTCTAGGTGGTTTGGGGCTCCAGAAAACCCCACTACAGATGTCACCCTGAGGTGGGAAGAAAAGACAAGGCTCCTCTTTCCTTTCCTTTCCTTTCCTTTTGTTGTTGTTTTTTTTTTTTTTTTTTTTTTTTAAGGTTTATTTATTCATGAGAGAGAGAGAGAGGCAGAGACACAGGCAGAGGGAGAAGCAGGCTCCATGCAGGGAGCCTGATGCGGGACTCGATCCTGGATCCCAGGATCACGACCTGGGCGGAAGGCAGGTGCCCAACTGCTGAGCCACCCAGGCGTCCCTCCTTTCTTTTCAAGTACAAGTCAGTCTGCTATGCAAACACTGGGCTGGCCTGAGCCCTCTGCCAGGGATTGGATAACTAATCTTCAAAAGGTAAAACTTGACAAATCTTAAGGCACTGGAGCTAAGTTACCAGTGAAACCTAAAGGTCTTCGGGTGTTTTGTTGGCAAGGGGAATACTAATCTGGTTCAATGCCAGCGACCAGAGGCTGCACAGAAGGTCTTTGCCAGGGAAGCTTGGGAAGCAGCTGTCCAGACCCCATGCCCCCGGGACCTCCATTCAGGAAAGGGGGCTTCACTGTATTCCCTGCAGTATGGACGCCCCTGTCGGCGGCTGGTTCTGTCTTCACTCGGCTGAGTTTCAAAGGCTGGGACCCCTGGTTCAAATCTCCCTTTCCCCCCTACCATTTCCAAGGTTTCTTTAAACATGGTGGGGAGGAGAGGCCTCAGTGCGCGTCTGTGCCCAGGGAATGTGTGCTGGGAAGGCCTGCAGTGGAGTTCAGTGGCAGCATTCGGGCCAAGGAGGTAAGCCCGGCATTGCTGGGCTGGTCTGTACCAACAGGTAGGACTGACCATGCAGTCCCAGAGCCTGGAGCTTGTTCTGAAGGGAAGGCAGCAGGGGCCAGACAGGAGGGAGACAAATTTCAGCAGCTTGTTGGCACTTCCTCCTGTTTCATGGAGCTGTTACCAGCTGCCTTTGAGAGTTAGAGAAGGAAAGAAATCCATTTTGTTTATCTGGTCTAGCTTTCTGAGAAAGGTTTCTCTGGCAAACCTTGTCACTAGGTAAACTTTCTCCCTGAACCAAGGTTCTGGCAACCAACAGATTTTGGTTCTCTGAAAACGTACAAATGATCTGGAGGCCCATCTTTATAAACAGAAGGATGAGAGGGACTCATGCTTTTAAACTCCCTCCTTCCCACACACAGTGGGAGATGGCAACATCTTGGAGCAGGAATGGAGTCAGAAGGTCCCAGAGGTGGCCAGAGTCTCTGCCCCCAGCTGCTGGCCAGGCATCTAGACCTGGGTAATGCGTGTTGGGGTGCGGACAGCCCTTAGACCTGTCTCCCAACTTACAAGTTTGATAGCTAAGAAACCGGGCCTAGAGGGGCCACCTAAGTGGCTCTATTGGTTAAGCGGCCAGCTCTTGATTTTTGGCATAGGTCAGGATCTCAGGGTCTTAGGATCAAGCCCTGCAAGTTACGCTCCTCACTCAGCAAGGAGTCTACTTGAGGATTCTCTCCCTCTCCCACTGCCTCTCTCCAAACTTGTGCATACTGTAAGATAAGCTTGTACGGAGCAGGGACCAGGAACAGTGAAGGGACTTGTCCAACATCACCCACAGCAAATTAGTATCACAGCTGGAGCTAGAATCCAGGGCTCTTGAGTTCCAGCCTAGCACATTAATGCCAGACCCATTCTGACTCTGGACTTCCTAGCTTAGAAAGTTAGAACAGCTAAAACAAAAAGGGTACTGCCAAAGATGCAAAGCAGCAGAGGTCCTGACTGCCCATATCAGGAGGCTGAGCCTTGCAGAGGTCTCTTACCTGTTACAGGCTTAGGTGCTGGAGGACGGGGCAGCTCAAGGAAAAGTGGTGGCTGCTTATACAGGTCAAAGTCCTGGTGGCGCTGGTCCCAGCTCCACCTCTCTCGATCCAGCATACTAGCAGACTGTGCATTTTCCCTCCACTCCTACGTCGAGAACAACACAGTAAGTTAAGATGGAGGTCCCTGTAGACACCCCACTGGAGGCCCCTCTCCACCCTGTGGACCTCATTCGGCTCTGGATCAGTGCTAATGGGCGGCAGCCTGAGGTGATGGTCGCATTCAGTGGTTCTGTGAAGACCAGTCAGTTGGAATCCATTGGCTGTGAGCCAGGCCTGGCGGGATTTCTTCCTGGCTTTCTTCTCCTCTTCCTCTGAGTCCTGAGGCTCCACCATGGCTGAGAGGTAATTCTGGGAGTATGTGAATCTCTTCCTTGGCTCCTGGAAACAAGGGGCAGACACGAGGATAGAAGGGCTGGCAGCAGATGTGGATGGGGCTGACTAGCCCTCCCATCTCCAGGCAAGCATTAGAAATGGTGGCACCGTTCCTGACAATGTAAAGGACCATTCAGAGTAACAACTGTGAGGGTCACGTTCATATTCTCTTTGACAGAGCAACCCTTTTCTAAAGCTACCATGTTGGAAGCCTAAGCCAGGGCTTTTCCTTCATGGTGACAACAACAGAATGCTAAGGTGGTTTGCAGCCAGGCACATATGAGCATACGTTGAGGATCTGTTGGCTCACCCTTAAGTGTGGAGGATCCCTACATAGTGTGGGAACAGAACATGTCTCCCCCAGCACCTGATGCCTATTTCCTCCCATTGGTTGGCTTTCTTATGCACACCAGAGATCCCTGGTGATCTCTGGCAGTATAGTCAAAAAAGGAGAGAGCTCACTGGATTAGCCAATTACTATTTTTCTGTCTGGAGTTACAAGCATTGACGGCCAGCCTCCCTCTCTGGGCCTCCCATTCACCTTGGCCATCTCTCGATATAGCTCCTTCTTAGCAAGCTCTGTGGAATTCAGGGTCTGGATACTGTAGTTATAAACCGCATCTTTGGTAGGGGCTGAAATTCTGATCACCTTCACCACAGATTTTGGAGGCTTCTTACTAACCTGGTAGGCTCTAGTAATATTTTTCTGTGGAAAGAGACACCAATCATTATAGTCCCCTCAATACCAGCTTCCAGCGTGTAGTGAGCAAGATGATCTGTGGGACCAGGCTATAGCGCACATACCAAGTCCTGAATACTAGAGCTGCCATTCAATCACAGAACGCTACCAGAGGGCCACCTGCTCTAACCCCTCGCTGTCCATGGTGGAACTCAGGACCAGGATGAGATTTGCCAAAGGTTAAAGTAACTGGAACACAAGAGCCAGCCACAGATAGAATTTGAGGCTCAGATGGTCAGAAGTGGGAGAAGCTTGAAGCTTTCATAGCATATATAGGGGAGATTATGACCTAAAGCAGCAAGGACTACCATCCTTGCCCATGGTCACCTTTAAGTGCTACGTAGGGAGTGTCAACCTTCTCTCCGGAGCCCCCAAGATGGTCTGACAGCTAGCTTCTTTGCGGGTGAAAGCTGCAGTGTTGCAGGGAGAGGTGGCTGAGACCCCGAAAAGAAAGTTGCACTCTATTGCGGTGTAGCTTGCCCACCACTTGTCTATTAACTTTCAGCAAAATCACCATCTTCTATTTTGAAACAAAAAGTTTTATTTTTTTTTTAAGATTTTATTTATTTATTCATGAGAGACACACAGAGAGGCAGAGACACAAGCAGAGGGAGAAGCAGGCTCCATGCAGGGAGCCCAACGTGGGACTCGATCCCAGGTCCCCAGGATCACGCCCTGGCCACCTGGGCTGCCCAAAACAAAAATTTTTAAAGCTGAAGATAGTGACCTTGACTCACATTAACCACTTATTTAGGCCAAGCCCCAGTGTCTTGGCTTTGGAGTCTGAGGGATTTCTGTAAGAGAATGCAAAATAATCAAGGGAAAGTTAAATCTGTGACTCACATAAAAGTGTGAAAAATCAAGGCAACAAGACCCCCGTGGCTTGAAGCAACAGCGACTTAAGACAAAGACTGGTCACCATTCATTGCATGAGGGACAAAACACCTGTCTTTGAGCACCTTCAAGATGACTGTGCCAGAGGGGCCATCTAAGCGCGACTGAGGTCTAAGCGGTGCACACCTAGCTTCAATCGGAGCACTGAGTATTCTCTCCAGTTTTTCTGGTGGTTCCCAGTGGGAGGGTTGGTCGGAACGAGTCAGTCTCCTTCACAAAAGTGCAAGTTCCCTGCTCCTTCTAAACCTTACTAGTGGATTACAGCCTTGGGAAAAAAAGTGGAAGTTCTGCCCAAAAGACATCACGTGGTGAGGTGAGAACAGTGGTCAACAGTTGTTCGGGACATCTGGGGTTCTCTGCCCTGGGGCTGAAGGCTGCAGGGAACTCTGGACTGACAGCCAAAGTAACTAGGTGCCTGAGACATAGAACCAGTTACAAAAGACCCCAGACACAAACAACTGAAGCCAAGCTATTGGAAGGGATGGGGTAGAAATTTAAGGCAAATGTAATCGTTCTTAAAAGACTAAAGAAACAAATATTGAGTGTAAAACATTAGAGTTTTACATAATAAAACATAAATATTTACATAATACTTATTTACATAAATAAAGGGCGCAAGTGAGTGAGACACCCTGTGGAAGTGGGGCAGATGGAGAACAAATCAGTAAACTGGAAACCAGCTTGAGATAAAATTAGCCTGAGTTTAGAGACTGGGAACCAAAATGAAAATATCCAAATAACAAGCCCCAAAAGGACAGGGAAAGCAGGAGTAGGACATTTTAAGTAGAATTCCAAGCCCGGGCACACTATCTGCTACATGTAAGACCATAAAAGGCAGAGACAAATCCTGAAAACCTCCAGAAAAAGAGCAGCCCCCCTGTGACGGGAGAAGTGCCACAGTGGCCTCTGATTCCACAGCAACCATACCATAGACAAGGTGAGGAGCTTCGACCCAAGACTGGACACCCAGGCAGACTGCCAGTCCACTGATGGCAGTGTGTCAGGGGCACACGTCTCACACAGAGGCTTGGGAAGCTTACCCAGACACTTTCCTTTGAAAACACACTTGGAAAAAAATACAAAAGGGAGGATGAAAACCCAGGAATGTTTGGACAAAGGTAGCAAGTGATGGTGTCGGTATCCTAATAGTTTTCTTGTCTACAAGGAAACTACAAGGAAAGTGTAGTAACCTAGAACTAAAATTCTGGAGACTGCATCTATAAAAGGGATGGTAGAGTGGGAGTAGGAAAAGATAAAAAGGGGCATATGTGTGCTATTTGTCTTTTAAAGGAAACGCAATATAAAAAGTCTCAGAATTCAGTAGGAATATATAAAAATGAATGTAGTCTTCAGGACAACCACCTTAGAAACAAAGAATGTAAACTTTTAAATCAGAAAAAAAAAAAAAAAAAAAACGTGGTCTACCAAAAGAAAGCAGAATAGGAGGAATTTAAAAGAAAAGGAGGTGGTCCCTCAAAAGCCTAATCTAACAATATTCTCAGTAAGTGGATTGTTTGCCAATTAATTAATCTCAAATTGGATTTTTTTAACCTAACAGTATGCTGTCTATAAAAACTGCTTTAGCGGCACTTAGTAGAACGTGCAACTCTGAGTTTAAGCCCCACATTGGGTATAGAGATTGCTTAAAAAAGTAAATCCCTTAAAAACTGCTTTAGACAAAAAGTGTTGAAATTAAAGCAAGAATATAAACTAGGCAAAAAGAATCACAAAGCCAAGACAAAAACTAGAGTGGCATCTTTAACATCTGACCACATAATTCAAGATAAAAATGTTCGAGAGGCACAGATAGACATTGTATATTGAGAAAAACAGCAAGAAGGTATAACCATCATGAAGGTTGTGCACTTCACAATGTAGTCTCAAAATACATTAAGTAACAACTGACAGGTTTGCAAAGAAAAATGAGTATCTGCTTGACATCACTGGAGAGCAAGCAAAGAACTAAGAATCTGAGGGGCTAAGAATCTAGAGAGAAGGGAAGTACACTGAATCCTTTTTCCTCTCCTACGCAATTTGTTCACAAGGTATTTGCTGATTCCTAAATTGCACATGAATGAGATGAATGCAGCAGATCCTTTGGAAAATGTCACCATGCTAGGGAAACAAAAATTGAGTTTCAGAGTGTGCCAAGGAGGAAGGCACCAGGTTATACCCTAAGCTTACAATTCAGAATTCAGAATATCTATGCTTTAGAAATAAGGCCAAACAAGGGATAAGCCTGTTTAAGAGATTTGTCCTTTATTTGCCTGCCAGAAGAAAAGTAAATCCTCTTTGGAGGAAGGTGTCAAGAGCCTCTACAGTTTTTCCTATGCAGCATTCACCATTTAATAGAAACACAGTCAATCTTCTGATCCAGTACAATCCCTATCAAAATTCCAATGGTATTTTTCACAGAAATAGAACAATTCTAAAATTTTTATGGAACCACAAAAGACATCGAATAGCCAAAGCAATCTTGAGAAAGAACAAAGTTGGAGGCTACATTTCCTGATTCAACTATATAGTACAAAGCTATAGTAACCAAAACGTGTGATAACTGCCGTAACAACAGACACATAGGTCAATGGGAGAGAATAGAGAGCCCAGAAATAAACCCACGTGTATAGTCAATTTATAACAAAGGAGCCAGTAATATACAATATAGAATGGATAGTCTTTTCAATAAATAGTGCTGGGAAAATAGGGTGGCCACATACCAAAAAAATTGGACCTCTATCTTAGGCCATACACAAAAATTAATTCAAAACGTATTAAAGACTTGAACCTAAGACCTGAAACGGTAAAGTTCCTAGAAGAAAAAAATAGGTAGTTAGCTCCTTGACATCAGTCTTAGAAATGATTTTTTTTGGATTTGACAGCAAGAACAAAAATAAGTGGGACTACTTGGAACTAAAAAGCTACACAGCAAAGGAAACAAATCATCCGCAAAATGAAAAGGCAACTTACTGAATGGGAGAAGGCATTTGTAAGTGATACAACCAATAAGGAGTTAATATCCAAAATGAATAACTCATGTAACTCAATAACAAAAAAAAAACAACAACAACAAAACACACCTGATTAAAAAATGGGCAGAGGATCTGAATAGACATTTTTCCAGAGAAGATAAACAAACGGTCAATAGGTAAGTGAAAAAGTGCTTAACATTACTAATCATTAGGGAAATGGAAATCAAAACCACAATGAGATTTCATCTCACACTTGTTAGAATGACTATTAGAAAAACAAATAGGGGATCCCTGGGTGGCTCAGCGGTTTAGCGCCTGCTTTGGGCCAGGGCATGATCCTGGAGACCCAGGATTGAGTCCCATGTCAGGCTCCCTGCATGGAGCCTGCTTCTCCCTCTGCCTGCCTCTCTCTCTCTCTCTCTCTCTCTCTCTCTCTCTCTCTCTCATAAATAAATAAATAAATATCTTTAAAAAAAAACAGTTGGAGATGTGGTATACTTGTGCACTCTTGGTAGGAATGTAAATTGGTGCAGCCACTATGGAAAATAGTATGAAGATTCCTCAAAAAATTAAATGGAACTACCATATGGTTCAGCAATTCCACTTCTGAGTATTTATCTGAAGAAAACAAAAACACTAACTCAAGAAGATAGATACATCCCCATGTTCATCGCAGTGTTCTTTACAATAGCCAAGACATGGAAGAAACCTATCAGTGGGTGATTGGACAAAGAAGATGGGGCGTCTGTGTGTGTTGTGTACACAATGCAATATTAGCCATAAAACAGAAGGAAATCCTGCCTTCTGTGACGACATGGATGGGTCTTGAGGGCATTACGCTAAATCAAATAAGACAGAAAAAACACAGCTATTGACTGACCTCACTTATTTGTGGAATCTAAAAAATAGGAACTCATAAGTACACAACAGATTGGTGGCTGCTAGAATTGGGGGGTGGGTGAAATAGATACATGTGGTCAAAAGGTACAAACTCAGTTATACAATAAGTAAATCATGGGGATGTCACATATAGCGTGGTATAGTTAATAGTACTATATTGTATGTTTGAAAGTTGCTAAGAAAGTAAACCTCAAGATAGTAGTT